GCCAAAACATCATAATCAAAATACAGATAATCTCATACTATCAAATGCAATTAATCATAATTGAAATCACTCTAAAAAAATTATTCATAAAATTATATTTTAAAAATTTTATTCCCTATTTTGAAAATCTTCTTATAAAAATTACTTTAACAAGGCGTCAATACTTAAAGTAAGGTCCACAATAAAATAAGACATGGTTTGCAAAACTATAGAAAAACTATAAAATAAGACATGGTTTGCAAAAATAAGATTGAGTCCGAGAGTCGATTATGCATTGAAAAGGTATTAGCACCATACAATGTCTGTCCAAAAGCAATATCTTTAATTAACTGTAGGAAGTTGACGTGGTTTTCAAAATCGTTATTTTTCCAAAAAAAAATAACCACAAGATAATACAAAGGATCCAAAATCAAGGATACGTAGTCTTTTTAAGACTCTTCATTGGAATTCTTCGTACAAAATGATTTTGGAACATGATTTGGATTTTAGGGAAATGAACTTTGGATTTTAGTGAGATCAACCTCACAAGACCTCATCTTGCTCCTACGTATTTCCACTTTTGGATAATAAACACTAAGGGAATGAATACACAAGTACTCATACCATTATTTAATATATTTTTATTTTTATTTTTACTTTATAATTTTTACTTTCTATTTTTCATTTTGTGTAATTATATTATGAGAATAATATCTACATAAACGTTTAAACTAAATTATAGAAATAGTAATTATATTTGCACTAGGGTTTAATATAAAATAAAAGTAATATTTACCTAAGTATTTTAGATGAAACAATAGTATTATTTACATAAGTATTAAATATAAAACAATAAAGTAATAATAATATTTACATACGCACTTAAAATAAAATTACAAAAAATAATAACATTGTTATTTATATAATCATTTTTAAAGAAAAATATAAAATAGAAAATATTTTTTTTTTATAATTTATAGTAACTGCTGAAAACATTAAAAAAAATTTATAATTTTATAATTAATTTTTTTTATTTAAGTAAAACAATATTCATAACAATAAAATACTAACAAATCAAACATTTTATTTAATTATTTATATACAAAGATGTTATTAATAAACTCTAAAGCCATTTTTTATAATTTTTTTTGTAATTTTATCTTTTTATTTGTCTTTTATTTCTATGATTTTATTGCATATATTTACTGTTTACAAACAAGCCCAAGGGAAGAAAGGGACCAAACAGAAAAGAGAGAAAGAATAGGGTGGCGGCAATCCAGGCAAAAAAGGTGCATGGATGAAATATAGGGGTGTATGATCCCACAGCCCAAATCCCTTTCGATTGCGTGATCTTCAACTATGTGGTGGTTTGGTTCTTCAATTTGAGATACATTGAAACACATTTCAAAATGAACTAATCCATAACTCATGCATATACTAATTCCATAGTTCAGGACATACCTCTTGAAGCTCCCTTTAATCCTCCCCTTTCTGCTCAGACTCTTCTCTTCTAGATTCCTTTTCTTCCCCTTTCCTCTATCTTCTGTTTCCTTTCTGCTTTCCTTTCTCTATAGCTCCTTCCCTTTTTGTCTTTTTTCTACCACCTCCTGCTATGAAACCAAATGAATCTTGGAAAATAAAAGGCAATGCAATGAATTAAAAATTCACTTGAAAGTAGAGAATAAACCAGAATATTAGTAAGAACAAAAAACGTGTGCACTATGTATGTATTTGTACATGCCAATTTGGTAAAAAAATGAAATGCAATTAAATTGGACAATGAAATGTTAATGTGAAACAGTATCGAAATAGCATCCAAACTAGATTAAAGAACCTAAACTAACGAAAACAATAGCATAACCTAAACTACACATGGTATGATTCAATGATGCACAAAACTACAAAACATGCATAATACAGTTGAAGAAACCTAAATGCTAATCATATGGAACAAATGATACAAGAACCTGTAAAACAAAACTACAAAGCAAGAATAGGACATTACGTAAAAGAACAAAATCAAATGAAAAGAGAGTAGAAAAATTATTATCTAAGCTAAAACAAATCTAAAATCTATTTAGCAAATACAAAAATCAAGGAACAAGCTAAAAACATAAGCAGAAACCGAATTCAGAGGTAAATGTGCACTGATTTCAATGAAAAAGTCCCAAATGCTCTTCAGGAAGACATCTTGTGAAAGTTGAGACCCACTTTGGAATATTCTTGGTCATGTTTCAGAACCTGAATTGGCAATTCTCACTTATTCATCCAACCAATGCACACAACACCTAACTCAAAAATTTTCTTTCACTCATAGTTAAACAGCAGAATATTACCAAGAACAGAATCCAAGAACCTACCAAAACAGAATTTATCATGTATAATTCGAACCTATAAAGAGCAGAATCTAAGAATCATTCCTAATTTCAATTCATCCAGAAATCAGAAAAGAAAGCAGCATATTAGACTAAGATTCAGAACCTAATCTATACAAATTACAACTGTTAAAAGGATTTTTTGTCGCGCATAAAGTTAACAACCTTAGTCCCCACTAACACTAATGTAGTATAGGAGCAACCACGGTTAATTAAATTTTTAAATGTAGAGTTAATTCCTATATTATTTATTTACTAATTAACTACTAATACAGGGTGGGAAAATAAAAGAATGAAATTAAAAAGAAAAGAAACTAAAACTAGAATCCGATTGAAGAAAAAAAGAAATGAAAAAATGTAAAATAAAAGAATGTATTATAATAGAATATAAAACCTAAATTAAAATGATGAATGAATGTGTAATGGTTTAATGCAAGAATGCTGTGTATTTATATGTATCTACAAGTAAAATAAGATGCAATGTAAATGAAGGAATAAATGGAACCTTTTAATCCTAAAACAGAACCTATGAATGCTATTTAATTCTAGTTTCTTAAATGCTCGTGTAAAATATATATGACATAATACACTAATGCAATTAAAATGGACTTATTACTACTTATGTACACCTAAAACATAACCTACAACTATATGTACCATGATTAACTATGTAAAAAGAAACAAGGAGTTAAATCTGGAAATTGAAACTAAAGAAGCCTAAAAATCCTATTCTATATTCACGTTCTGGATAGTTGACAATCAAAACAAGATATCAAATAAATTAAATTAATGAAAAAGGAATTTGAGTAACACAAAAATCTAAACTAAAATTATGATAATCACCAATTCACAGAACTGAAAGAAATGGAATGTGAATATAGGAAAAGAATAAAAATTCAGTGATGTAAAACATGCAACAGGAACTAAAAATTGAAATACAAGAATCACAAACTAAAATGAAGATCAATTCAACAACAAACACCTAAAACTAATAAGCAAACAATGAATCATTGATTAAAATCAGAAATCAGAATTGGAATTGCAAAGATTGGTGTAAAGAGTGTTCAATTACATTTCAGGAAGACATTATGTGAAAATATGCCCACTTTGGAGTTTTTAAGTCCATTTTCAGAACTTTAAATGAGTAAAGTCCACTCAATTCACCAAATCACAGCAAGTTCAATTCGAATTCATGCTTTTAATCAATATCAGAGGCAAAATCCTATTCTAAAGGCAATCAAACCTATTCTGAAAGTCTAATGCACATTCATAATGAAAACCAAAATATCAAAAGCAATCTAATGCAATTAAACGAATTGAAATCACTCTTAACCTAAAGAAAGCATTGATATTGAATGAAATCAAAAGTAAATTTTAAATTTTAAATAAATAAAGTTGTCAAATATTCTTTTCTTATATTCGCTCTAACACACGGATTCAACCAGAATTCACGCACACTTTTTTATTCTACTGCAGGGGTCAACAAAATCTTGACATGCAAATTCAATTCAAGGTAACATGCAAATTCAATACAACTAAACATGCAAATTCAAATTCCTACTAACACGTGGAAGGCATGTGTGTAAGTAAAAAATGCAAAACATAATTTCTATCATCTTTTTTCATGCATGTTTGTAGTTTGTTGGGATGAGAATATGGTTTTGTGAGTTTGAACTTTTTTTTTCTTGATTTATGTTCCTTTCACTTTATATTTATATTTTTAATATTTTAAAATTTCTTAAGTTTAAATTAGAAATGTTTTAATTAAAATTAAAAATATAAAAAATAAATTAATTTTAATATTTAGATGGAGTGGTTTGATGTATAAATTTAAAAAGAAAAATTAATATACATATATATATATATATATATATATAAGTTCAAATTAAACTTAATTATTAATTTAGTCCTATTTTAAAATTGAGCAGCATTACTATATTCTAAAAAAATAAAAATTAATTAAGTCAAAATTTAAATATAAAGATTGAATTAAATTTAAGAGACTAAAATTTACCATTATTAAGAAACAATAATTGAATTACTTTTTTTTGTCCATAGTCATATAATCAATCACATAATGATAAATTAGATTATCAAAAAACATTTTTAATCTCAATTAAAGTCCTTAACAATTTTTAAAAATTTGAACTTAATTTATGGTTGACAATATATGAAAGGTACATGTATAGTTTCTAACTCAAAATTTGACAACAATATTTCTCAAGAAATGGTAGTTTTTGTATTCAGGGTCTTTTTGTTTTATAGGCTATATTTTATTGTGGTTTTTGACGTCATCTTTGATTTTGTTAAATATTTTGCTTTGTTAATCTTTAATTTGATGATATTTGTTATAAAAATCAATAATAAAAAATAAAGAGCATATCTTATGGATTAATGATATATTTCCTTTTATATATGAGATATTATATTTGGGTTAGTGAATGGAAAATTTTTTTTTTATAACATTTTTTAAATATTTTTTTTAAAAATAAATTCAAATTTATCACTAAAATAATGACACGTATAAAAAATTGTTATAAAAAGTGGTTAAGATATCCTTTAACGAAAGAGCGACTACGAAATCAAATATCTTGGCGCTGTCTTCTATATTGAACACACTCTCAATTTCGCAGATTTGCGTTCCATTTTCCTTTCTTCTTTTGTGATGTTTCTCCACAAATTGGTATCTGTTTTGCTAAGGCCGACTTCTTTGTTCTCTGTTTCACCAAGGCCGACATGCTTCGCAATGGCCGCAACGCTCCTCCAATCACCGACGTTTCCTTATTCACCATTCCCCATCAAGGTGCATCTGTTCAAATTTTTTTGTTTAAGCGTTTCTTATTGAAATAAAAATATTATTGAAATAATAGATTGCTTTAGGCTCGTTGAAAAATTTGATCCTTGATCCTTCAAAAAATTTGATCCTTCAAATGATTATGATTTATTTTTTCTATTTTATAATTTAGTTTTGACCCTTAACACTTTGATACGGCGTGTTATTTTCGATGCATGGCACTGAAGTGATGTTCTCCTATTTATATTTTTTATGTTTCTGTATCTTTTCTATTTGAAAAATCTGTATACAAATCAATGTTAGGTTTACAGTTCGCTTTAAGTAATCACACTATGTGTAACCCCAGTACCTTCAAATTCTTGTTGAAACACTTTTGATTTGTACATGTTATTTTGACACTGCTTACGTACATAATATTTTAATAGAGGATAGACCCTTACACAAATAAACTCTTTTATCTTTTTGCAAATAAATGTATCTCTTTTCTATTTTTTTTTTTCTTGTTTTCAAAGGCTAACTTGTGAATGAATGACCTCAGAATATTCAATGTTGGAGGAAGAAACCTAACTCTATCAATGGACCTTATAATAGACACAACAATTCAAACTATGTAAGTGGTGGTCAAAATTTCTATTCTTCTGTTACGGAGCCAGATTACATCAAACCATATGATATTTGCTTTCGTGGAAGAAGGAATCGTGGTTCGGTGGGAGCTACTTTACATGGAGAAAACAAGGAAAGTAGAATTCTTAAGAAGAAACCGACAAATGGGTCGGTGTTGAGACCTGGTATGGTACTCTTGAAAAAATTCTTAAGTCATGATGAACAGGTACTTCATTTTTAACTTACTTCAGACTGTATTGTAATTCCTTATAAAATGCTTCACTTGACATCAACTAATAGGGCAAGCAGAAGCATATTTTGAAAGTAGCTAATTGTGTATAAGAATATGATACATAGCATGCAATCAATTTTCTCTATTCTTTATTGTTGGATTGTGGCATAATGCATTTCATGGTTTGCCCCATTTATCCATAGTTTTGCACACTTTACTGCCATCAGCTGAAAACTTATTCTAATACTTTTAGGTCGAAATAGTGAAAGTTTGTCGTGAACTTGGCGTTGGTCTTGGAGGATTCTATCTACCACTAAATCCAAATGGAACTCCAATGCAATTGAGGATGATGTGTCTTGGTAGGAATTGGAATCCTGTGACCCATAAATATGGAAAGATGCGACCATTTGATCGTACCATTCCTCCTAGTATTCCCAATAACTTCAGTGAACTAGTTACTAGAGCAATCCAAGAAGCTCAGTCTTTGACTAAAAAGAAATACAGAGCATGTAATGAGAAGGAAGTTCTTCCCTCTATGACTCCTGATATTTGCATAGTCAATTTTTATACAAATAGTGGAAAGCTTGGTCTTCATCAAGTTAGCTCCTAAACTTCCTAAACTTTGTATTTTCATTTTCATTATCAGAACTGAAGAAAATATATGGCTATTATTGGTTATTCTAGTCAATATAGTAATTGTTTTAGTCTGTATTATTGTCTTATTGTTCTATTTTCAGATTTCCATATACTAAAGCATTGCTTAGTATGTTATATTTTTGGTATTCATGATTTGCATTTATCAAACTCATGTTTTTGTGCGAAATATATGTCATACATTTTCTATGTTAGTCACTTTATATTCTAAGATATGGACAAGCTCTCTCAAGCATCTAACTCGAAATTGCTTGATGCAGGATCGTGATGAAAGCAAAGAAAGTCTTAGAAAAGGGTTGCCTGTTGTGTCCTTCTCTGTTGGTGATTCTGCATATTTTCTTTATGGGGATGAGAGAAATGCAAAGAAGGCAAATAGTGTAGCTCTAAATTCTGGAGATGTGCTGATATTTGGTGGTAAATCACGACATGTTTTTCATGGTGTGCCAGCAATTTTCCCAAATTCAGCTCCAAAGGAATTGATGAAAGATTCTTGTCTTTCTCCTGGTCGACTCAATCTTACATTCAGACAATTTTAATGCACTTTGATATATGTAATGCAAATAATTGCTATTTATGTTCTTATAGACATGTTTTTTGGACTCACTAGTTATCATTGCCTAAGTGTAATGTTACAGTGCTAGCATGAATTTTTACATTCAAGAACAAAGGTATGTGAACGAGAGAGGTGAAACCCATTCTTTCTTTTGACCTTAATTCATTTAAATGTTATAATGATGAGTCTTGATATTTCTCTAAAACCCCAAACCATTAATTAGATTAACGTGTTTTGTTGTTTAAACATCCGTATTAGTATTTGAGCAATATTTTTGGCATAGTAAAAGAAAATGAATGTGTCGATTTTATATTGATTTTTTTTTTTGTTTTTTTTTCAAATATATACATATATTAAATCAATGTTTTTCTATCGTATAAAACAAATAAGTGTTACCTTGAGTGATCCATATAATAATAATTTACAACTTCATTGTCACTTAAGTGACTAAGTGATAAACACAAATCTCATACCTATTAAATATAATTATAATAGGTATACTAAGTTTAAACGACTAGTTAAACTTCAAATGTTATTTATATATATTATACTTTAGACTTTTATAATTATATATATCATGATTTTCTAACCCCGTGTACATATCTATATAATCATACTTATAAAAATCTATTTACCAAACTTAATTACATAACTAATTTCCAAATTTAAATTTCTAAATTGTTAATACCTCCTAGTTAGAATCTAAAGAAGACAAAAAGAAAAAGAGAAGTTGATTTTTTATTTTTAAAAAAAGAAAAAAAAACTATATACTCACTATAATAAAACATTTATTGGAACTGTCTTGATATATTAGCAGACATCCGACCATAAACATATTTTGAACACAATAACTCACTAATGAGTAAAAGGAGTTTAAATAATATAGAAACGTTTTTATTGAAATAAAAAGTATACTATTATAATTTTTTATAAACTTTTAATTTTCTTAAGAGTTTTTAATAGTTCATCCGTGTATAAGATTTTAGCGTTAATATTTTTTTAGAACTAATTTGTTTATAAAGTAAGAGAGAAATCGTATAGAGATGATATTTATTCAATCAAATCGTAAATCATAAATTGATAAAGAAAAAGAAGCACGACGTTTTGGTTTAAAAAGACATTGATTTGAAAAAAAGTTCACTTTAATATTATAATATTCAATTATATTTCCATATTAAACTTTCTTGATGTAAATGACTCAAGGGAACGGTATCATATATGCATTTTAAAAGAAGCGTTTGAAATAGAGCAAAACCATCATCATAATAATATATTTTTGTATTTAATCAAGGAAAAAATAAAGAAAGAATCTGATTACAAAATAAATAATATTTTTTTTTTCATTTCCTTTTACTTTTTCTTGAATTTAAGTTTCACTTTTCTTTTTCCACCATCTTTTAGCTTTTTACCACTCCAAAGGCATATAAATTTTACTCCATTATTTATTTAAAGTATAAAAATTGTTTCTGAGGGCAGCATGAAATCGAAACACAAAGTGTATCATTCTTGTTATCAAGTTGATATTTATATTTTCAATTCATATTTATAGTTTAACAAGTTCTATACAAAAGAAATCAATTCACAACCAGCCATGTGAGCTAACAAAGGATTATGATGAAAAAAAAAGGAAAAATGGAAAAGGGTAATATTTGGTCTCCTTTTTTGCATAATATTTGTATATGTTTTGTTTGAGGGTTTTGTGATTAATTTTGAAACTTTGAGGACCCTAAGAAAGTTTAGAAAAGAGAAGTGTATGAGAAAGGTAAGAAAAGTTGGGAAACAGCATTGTCTCACGTTGTCTTCTGGTCTGGTCTAAAATTCTTTTAACCATTTACATCTTTTGCATGCTTTCAACTTTTTTCTTTTTCACTATTATTATTATTTCAAATTATATTATCAATCAATAAAAATTATTATTGATATACCAACCACTTTCACAAATTTGGCATGCTTATTTTTTTTAATAATTATTTGTTCTCTTGTTGGATTTGGAAACTAATATCTTGAAAAACATTCTTCTCATGAGTATAATTTGGTTGAAGATTAATCTTCGCTTGAAATTTTGACTGAATTTTTTTTTATTTATTTCGTGATAATTGAATACAATCGATGAGAAAAGAATATGTTATGAATATAATATTAGAAAAAGATTCCAAATATAGAATTAAAGATGATATTTTTTGTAGAAAGTGAGTGAGGGTGTGTGAGATTGAGTAGTAGAGTGTGTGGCATAAGAAATATCTTCATTCACCAAATAGGAGGAAGATTTTGGAATGTAGAGATTCTAAAAACTAGGTTTTGGGAGGAAACATTTCAAAAAACGAAATTTCAATATCTGCATTATTACCTATTGCTGTCTTGCAATTACTCGTCGGCAAAAAATAATTAAAAAAATTACAAATAAACCAATCCTAGCCCGTATTAGAGTCAAAAAATTGTTAAAAAAAAGTCAAAATATTATTATCCTAACAAATATCATCGAATGGTTTGTTAATGAATTATTAATAAACTAACTGATTTTAATGTTTTACATTAGCTTGAATTTAAAATATAAGTTTCATTGATTTCATATATTAAAAGTTAGATTCTTTGTTAGTGATTATCTTGGTATAAAAAGTAAAAAGCAACTTTCTAATCCTCTCATTAGTTTATGGATAGGTTTAATGTTTCAATAGGTCCCTATTTTTGTTCAGAATTTGAAGTAGGTCCCTTTATTTTTTGGCATCTCAATTGGGTCCTTATTTTTGTTAATTTGATGCAAATAAATCCTTTCCGTTAATTTCATCAAACGGCGTTAATGAATGTGTGACGTGACCTGAGGACAGTATTGACACGTGTAAGGCCACGTCACACATTCATTAACGTCGTTTGATGAAATTGACGGAAAGGATTTATTTGCATCAAATTAACAAAAATAAGGACCCAATTGAGACGCCAAAAAATAAAGGGACCTATTTCAAATTCTGAACAAAAATAGGGACCTATTGAGACATTAAACCTTTATGGATATCTTTGTCCATCACACAGTATTTTGCTGCTTTTGATAAATTATTGTTATTTTCCATCTTTTGCGTTTTTATTTTTGTATATCAACGTGGCTTGAAAAAGGTTTATCTTCAAAACAAAACGAGTTGAAGTTGAGAGCGATGTGCACGTTATGCTGGTGGCTCTACTAAGATAGAAAAAGATTATTTGAGACTAAAAATAACCATTTGATAACAAAATTTTACATTTATATGATACTATCATTTATGTTTATGTTGAATTAGGATGAGCATACTGCTTATATGCTATTTTTGTCTTTGTGGAAGGTTTGCTTCTCTCTCAATTTTGGTAATCGATTCGTATATAGAGGGTGACTTACAAAATATACTCCGACGCAAGTCAAAAGTTTTTTTTGGAGGTCTAAAGCAATGCGATTATCTAAACCTAAAACATTACCTTGCACCCACTTATATACTATGAATTGAGTCAGAATAGACATTAATGGGTGGTTCGATAACAGGTGAAACAATGTGTCCAACAAATAACGATAGGCTCCAAACCATGGCTCTGATACCATGTTAAAAAATGGACTTTAAGCCTAACTCAACTCCACAAAATGGCTTGTTAAGTAAGGTTTGCACCCACTTATATACTATGAATTGGCCTTATCTCTAATCAATGTATGATTCCCAACAACCTATTTATAAAGTTAATAAGAATTTGACCAATTAATTTACCTTTTAATGATCATTAATACAATCATCAATAGTCGGTACCACATTGATTGTGCTTTATTTCTGTTCAACTGTTGTCATCACCAAATGACTTCTAAGTCATTTTACACCCGATCATTCGGTCCATTGGACTTGGTATGCTGTCGTGTCTTGTTGGACGGGTCTACCCTATGGTAACAATTTCTTATTTTTAATTTTTTGGCATAATACCCAATTTTGTCCCCACTTTGGTTCGGAAATCTCAAGTTAGTCCCTTTATAGAAAAGTGAGTTTAATGGATCCTTACTTGTAATTAATTGACTCTAATGAGTCCCTTCCGTTAAATAGAAGGAAAATGATATTAATCAATCCCAGAAAACATATCATTGTTATTAACATCTTCTCCCTTTTTTGACATTCCCTAACACATTTCTCCAGACTATTAATCTTCCTCCTTTGCCTTGCAATAGTACCAACAGTATCATCTACGCAATCTTCACTAAGCCATTTAAAGAAATTGCATCCTTGAAGTTCTTCATTTCTTGTCCGCTTGTAGTTAGGGCAGCCCCAGAATTGTTTCCCCTCGTTCTTAATTGTTTTTGCCACTCTCAACACAGCAGCCTCCCCACAGTGGCATATTTGGCTTCCAACCAATCCTCTGGATGAACCACCGCGACAGCTCCCCCATGAGCAAGACGAACAACCGTGATTCGAAGACATTGC